TCCTTCCTTCCTTCCTTCCTTCCTTCCTTCCTTCCCTCCCTTCTCTCCCCCCATCCTACCCCAACTCCCAGACTTGTATCAAAAATTTTAAGTTAGCATAAGCTTTCACATTAAAGACTGAGCAGAAACCAAAATCACATCACACAGAATCTGCAGCTACAATTTTTCTTCCACTTAAAAGTTACTTGACCAAATGGGGAGAAAGCGGAAATGCATTCGAAATATGTCCAAGTGGCACACCAAGATTATCCTCCATGAGGATATTGGGACTTCCTCTTTACACTGAAGCTGATGTTATTTATGCATCTATATCTGTGCCAAATTTTAGCTAAAGACATTGCTCGATGGAAAAAAAAAAAAAAAAGACAAGGAGAAAAGAAAGAGAAAAAGCTGAGCCTGTGTGCTGAGAGTTCTCGACTCAGCATGCCTCGTTGTATATAGGATAAAATGGAATATTTGACATCAGATGAGCTTGTTTTTCCCTACAAGGTTGATGTTTCTGTATGAGAACTCCTCAAATCTCTTACATATTACGAAGAGAGAAAAATTATTATCTTAATACAAGATATTTAGTGCAAGAGAGTGCTTTCCCCCCCTAATTTAAAACAAGGGACTGTGTACTTGTAAATCTAGCGAAAAGCTTGTTTTCTTCTTGCAGATTATGCTCCCATTTTGCTTGGCCTTTTTTCTTTCTTTTGGTGGTATTTTTGTGGGGGTTTTTGGGTGTTTTGTTGTTGTCGTGGGGAGCTGCCGCCCCAAGATAGCCGGCCGGTGTTGGAGGCCGGAGCTGATCCGCATCCCCAGGACAGCGGAGAGGAGGCTGGGGGGGCTCAGCCCCCTTCGCTGGCGGCGAGCGCCCAGCACGGCAGCGCAGCTCGGGACAAAGCGGGGCGATGCCGGGGCCGCCGCCGCCCGGGCAGCCCCCGGGGACCCTGGGCCCTCTCAGGGGGCTCCTTCGGCGGGTGGGGAAGAGACAGAAGCGCGGGGCCAGCTGCAGATGGAGGCAGGTCGAGGGATAGGTCAAGGTTAGAAAGAGCCTGCTATTGATCTGGCTTTGAACGCGAGACAGGGAGAGCAGAGAGACTAAAGGGGGAGCTGTGAGACAAGACATTAACAGCTTTCAGTGCTAATGATCACAAGTGCCAGACAGGGGAGGAAAGAGAAGACTGAGAAATCACTTTGGAATTTTTTTTTTCCTCTATTGGGATGTATTTTCGGAGGAGGAGGAGGCAGGCTGGGGGCTCAACCCCCCGAAGCCTTGCCCGCAGCCGGAGAGACGGGAGGGGACTTGCTGCGGCCCCGCTGCCCCGGGCAGCCGGGGAGTCCGCCTGGTCAATCATTGCCGGCCCGTATCTCCTGCTCTCGGTGCCCCACTGGAAGACACTGTTTAATCAACAGATGATGCCCAATAACTTCCCGATAAGCCGCACTCCCAAGGGGTGCAGCTTCCTGCAGCTCGCCGAAGAACGGCGGCGGCCGCCGGGGCCCGGACTTTGCACTCCACAGCGGCCCCGCGGCCGCAGCCCCGCGGCGTGGCCTGGGGACGGGCCGCGCTGAGAGCAGCAGCAGCACAGCCACACAAAGCCTCTCGGCCCCGCCAGCCGCGAGCAGGGCGGCATCAAAGCGGAGAGAGCGGTGCGGGCAACTCCATCTCCTCTGATCGGCCCGGGCCCCTTCCCGCGGGGGCGGAGGTCAGCGAGAGGAGCCTCTTCTCCCCCCCGGCTCCCCCGCGATTGTGCCGCATCCTTTACCCCGACGCGGACACGGCTGCCCCGCAGGGCAGGGCTGGGGGCTCCCTCTCGGGGCCCCGGGGCCGTGGACCCGTCCCTCCCCTCCCAGCGGCGGGGCCCCTGCTATCACCACGGTCATTTTCCTTTGCAGGACCCCGCAGCACAAACCAAACACACAGGGCGAACAATCGCAGCAGTTTAAGCGCCGTTAATGGTCTGGGACGAGTTTGTCGAGCGTTAGCAGAGGCGGAGGGCCGGGCGCGGGCACGGAGGGCAGCGCCAGGCTGGCCCAGAGCCCACCGGCCGGGGCTGCGGTGCCCGCCGCCCTCGGCACTCGCCGGGCCGGGCTGCGGGGTCTGGCAGCGCAGGAACGCGAGCTGTGAGCGGGCGGGCGGGCGTGGGGAGGGAGAGGCAGATTTGCTGGAGGAGGCGAGAGCGATGCTGTTTAGCCAAATTCTTCTCAAAGCTGATTAAGGGCACCGAGATGAATTCTGGTCCCGTCAAGACTCTCATGCGATTTAATATGAAAAACCACTAATTTAACTTGGAAAGTAAATGACATGAGCGCAGCGCGGGTCTCCGAGTGGGTTCCGGGTACAGGCTGGTTCCTTGGTTTTCTGCTCCATCTGCCTCCAAGCCCCCAGGCCTCCCCTCTCCCCACTGCCCTCGCCTTGGCCAGACCTGGTGCTGAAAAGCTGTTTGCACCGAACTGTTTACTTATCGGGGGAGGAGGGAGAGAGAGTAATAGTCTCAGGAGATGGGCCGGGAGAGCTGAGGCAGAGGGGAAAAAGTTGTTTTCCAAGAATCTTCTAAGTTAGAAATGCACGCAGTTGTGGGCATTTACCTGCGTGTGAAATAGGAGGACAAGTGCACTGAGATGCAGTTCCTGGGAACTCGGCGTCTCTCCGTTCGTGGCTGAGACTTAATTTCTCCAAGGAAAAATAGTCTCTGCCAGGATTTTAAGGGAAGGGGGGTTTGGGGGTGGGAGAAGGTCGGAGCGTGTGTGCGTGTGCGGATCGGGTGTGCGCGCGTGTCCCGCTACCATCGCACTTCGGGTAGGGAGAGAGGAGGGGGAAAAAAATCCCTCTCCCCAACCCACACAGATATTTGTGTTGTTGTAAAACTGTTTGAAAGAAATGCAGGGGGAACGCGCTCGCCGCCGAGGAGCTGCGGCGGCGCCCGGAGGGAAGGAAGAGCAGCCCGCGACCCCCGGGGAGCCTCCGCTCCTGGGCACGGACGGCGGGAGCACGACCCAGCGCCGAGCCCGGGCGGCGGAGAGCGGCGGCCGCGATGAGCAGCGGCGAGGCGGCGGCACGGGCGGGCAGCGCGGCACCGGCGGGCAGCGCCAGCGCCTCCCCCGCGCCCCCCGCCGACCCCGGCAGCCTCCCCCGCCCGAGCCGCCCCCGCTGCGGCCGGCGCCGGGCTCGGAGAAGTTTGGCCGTGCATGAGGATGCGGATTTGTTCCTTCTCCCCTGCCTTTCCCTGGCCGCCGGCGCTCCGCGTACTGAGAGCGCCCTGCACAAAGCCCGGAGCGGCGGCGAGCCCTGCGTGTGCCGTAGTTGGTGTGTGTGCGGTGTGTGTGCGTGTGCGGTGTGTGCGGTGTGTGCGAGTGGCGTTTCTTGTTCTCTTGCAGGGTACAATGTTAAAAAGCCACCGCTAGTCGCCCCCAGTGCTCCTACTCTCTGGGTCTTTTTGTCTCTAGTGCAGATTAAACGTCACGTCCGCACTTGAACTTGAATTTTATCCCATTGTACAGAGGCAGCCCCAGCCATAGAGAGACAGAGCGCTCCCAGAGAACCAGGACTCCGCCATCTTCACATTGCAATATATAATAGTAATAGCCAGCACCAGCCCAGCTGCACTGGGGGCTTCCTTCCTTCCAGTCCCAGTGCCAGGCGAGGGGGGAAGAGTGCAAAGTGGTGCAGGAGCACTGGCAATCCAAAAGCACCAGGGCAAAGCAGTGCCACTTGAACTGGGAAAGAGGAGACACAGTTTCGGCTACCCCTTTTCAAAAAAATTCTCTCTATATATCTACCCAGCAAGGGTCAATCTCTGAGAAACATTTTTTTTTGGGGATTTTTTTTTTTTGTGGGGGCTATCCCAATTCTAGTACTTTTCTTCTTTTTTTTTACTACAGTTTTTTTTTAATTTTAATTTTTTTTTTTTTTTTTTTTTTTTTTTTTTTCTATATTTTTTTTTTTTTAATTTTTTTTTTTTTTTATTTTTTTTTTTTTTTACCCTCCTGGTGGAAAAGCGCACTTGCCAATTTGCCAAGCACTCTGGAAAGAGGGAAAGAGAAAAGTGTCACTGGCGGTGCATATCCTCCTAAGTTCAAGAAGAGATCTGGAAGTCCAAGTGGCAGAAGCAGTGGAGAAAAGACAGTGTGTGAAAGAGAAAAAGAGCGAGAAAGAGCTTTTCCTGATGATGATGATGATTTTTAATTGAGAGGGAATCCCATCCAGTGCACCACAGCAGCAACAAAAAGGAGGCTTTTTTTTCGTTTTTGATTTTTTTTGAAAGAAGAACTCGATAAAGAAGAAGAAGAATAAAGAGGAAAAAAAAAAGAGGAGGAGGATCGGCCCCCCAGCACATCCCCCCCAACCAGTGCAGCTCTCCAGGCGATGCCAGTGTAAATGCCAGGGCAATGTCCCGTCGCAAGCAGGGAAACCCGCAGCACTTGTCACAAAGAGAGATTATCACACGTAAGTTTGAACTTGGAACCAAACCGAGCCGAAATCGAGAAGCAAAATTAAGGAAGGGGAGGAAGCGGTTGGGGAGGGGGGGTGTGGGGGGGAAACTCCAGGAGCAACCAAAGCTGGTAAATGACTTCAGAGAGAGGGAGAGGAGAAGGGAATTAAAGAGGGGAGGGGGGTGTGTGGCTGGGGGGGATGGGCTGGGGGTGGAGGGGGGGAGAAGCCCGAAGTTTGCTGTGCGTTTTTGCAGCGGTGCGGAGGTGAGGCGGGCAGGCAGGCGGGAGGGCAGGCGGCGTGGAGCGGGGAAGGAGCTGCCGGCGGGCAGAGCGCGGCGTGGGGCGGCGCGGGGCTCTCCCGAGGAGCCGGTGCGTGTGCGGGGGGCGGCGGAGCGGGACGCGCTGCTCCAGGCCGGGCCGGGCCACCTCGGGCCCGCCCGGGCCACCCCGCCGGGGCTCCGCCGGTCGCCCGCGGCCCCGCTCCTCGTTCCTCGCTTCGGGGGCAGTACGGAGCGGTGGGAAAAGTTGGCCGAGAGCCTTGTCTCGGCGTGACAGCCGGGCCGCGGAGGGGGGGCGGAGGAGGATCAAGGTGGGCAGCAAGGGAGGGAGATGCGGAACGGCCGGGGGGATTTAGCGGGAAGCACATGGAGACGGTGGGCTGGCGGCGGCGGGGCCGAGCCCCCCGGCACTGGAGCGCGGGGCAGGTAGACGGCCAGCTGCGCCCTGCCCGCCCCAGGTGCATCGCCGGCGGGGAAAAGAACTCTCCTTCTAAGCGCGGGGCAAGGCAGAACCAGCTCGGCTGGGGCTAGAGGCAGGGCAGGGGCTGCCGAGGGGGTACGGGCGGGAGTTTCTGTCGGTGGCGGGGGGCGCGAGGAAAGCCGAGGCGGGGACCGGGGATGGAGTGCACGAAATGCGGGTCGGGCAGCGGCACCGGCTCGCCTGCGGGGCAGGAGCGGAGGCTGCACTTTGCTGAAGCTCCCATTGTAAGTGAAAATACACACATATGCTCACCCCCCCCCCCCCCCCCCCCCCCCCCCCCCCCCAAAAAAAAAAAGAAAAAAAAGAAAAAGAAATAGGGAAGGAAAAAATAAAGGGAGGGGGAGGGAAGGAGGCATTCCCCCCTCCCCCAGCACCAGAATCCCCCTCCTCCCCGTTCCCACCCCTAAAGCTCCGGGAGAGGGGCGAGTGCCTGCAGGCAGAGTAGGGGGCAGGTCCCCGTGCGGGCGCCTCACTCCGCTGCTCCGCCGCTCCCGTCCCCGGGGGCTTGTGCCGCGACGGGGGGAAATGTGGGGACGCCTCCCGGGGCGTGTGGCCCCCAGCGCTCCGCGCTGCTCCGACGCCTCCGGGGCACGGGAAAGGGGGAGGTCGGGGGGGGGGCCCATTTCCCTCCTGTAGTGTAGGACAAGTTTTGGGGGTGGTAAGGAAATGCTCGGCACGCCGTGGCCCCACACCCGGGAAGCCCGGTCGGACCCCTGGCCCCCCCGGCCCCGCAAGACGAGTCCGCAAGTTGTTGTGCTGCGGGGGGCGGCGGCTGCACGGAGCCAGCCCGGGGCTGAGCCTGAGCCGCGGCGGATCCGAATATTTATGTTGAGATTTTAAAAAATTTAAATAAATAAATAAAATATTTCCCCGGCTTCTCTCCCCTCCCCTGAAAGCCAAGAATAGGAGCCATCTGCCAGGAGCATTTGGTGCTTGCGAGCTCCTCTCTTTCTTTGTTACCGGTGATAAATTTCTGTTTGTAAGATTTCCTTGGGAATCGAGATATATATGTGTATATAATTTTTCCACCTCCACTGGGATTTTCTTTTCATACCAGAGGGCTGTTGGGGGACGGTTTGAGTTCCGAAATATGAATTTCTTTTGCTATTTCTGTATTCATTTTTTTTTTCATATATACATACATATATATGTGTATATATATATATTTGCATTTTTTAAATATGCGTCTTTATTTTTTAAAAAGTACCCTTCACTCCACCCCCATCAGCTGGTGGAACCTTGATGAAGATGCATCTGATATTCAGCTTTTTCTGGGGGGGTTGTTTTTAATTCATTGTTATTTTGGAGCCAGATTTGCATCACCATAAAAGGTGGATTCCCCCCTTCCTCAATTCCCTCCCCTTCGTTAATTGCATTTTTTATTTTAGCCATCCGGTTTGGAAAATGTCTTAGCCTTTTTGTTGGTGGCTTCTTATTTTCCCCCCCTTTCTGTTTTCTAATTTTCTTTTTAAAAGAAAAAGCATCAACAGCCACCTAAATCGCCCAGTGTAATTTCTCCCACTTGTTTTCTGTCTCACTTGCGAGGAGATGTGGAGTGTTGAAAGGGGGTGTGCGGAAAAGCTGTTTTGTTGCGCACGTCTGAATTTGTTTCAATGGGTGAAACATTTCTTTTCTCGCTGCTGTTGCTGCTGGGGGTGGGGGGGGAAGGGGGGTGGAGAAGAGAGCCAGGTAGGTTTGTTATTCCAATTTGATCTCCTTTTCCGATCGCTTTACTTGAAAGTAAATAATGAGGCAGGAGAGTATTCAAAGGTGCCGAGGAGCTGCATGTACAATGGGTTTAGCGGGAAGGCTGGGGGAGGAATGGAGAGCAGAACAGTACGAGCTTCCCTCCCTACCCTCTTGTATTTATCTATCTCTCCATCCTGAGGAAGCTGGCGGAGAAATCAGCCTGCATACTGAACAGTGGCAGAAAAAAAAAAAAGAAGGTATCCAGGGGAGGAGGTGGTGGGAGGCGGGGGGGCGGGGGGGGGCTGCATCGGGCTGGGGTTGGGGCTGGGGAGCAGGAGCGAAGGCATTTCAGTGCACAGGTCTGAGCCTCAGCTGCAGGCTTGCAGGAGAGGGGGTCGCAGTCTCTGCACTCCTTGGGAAGTGTCATTCATAGGGGAAAAGCAGCCAGGCAGTGTCCTCTCTAAAGGGGAGTTTGGAAAGTAATGGGCAAACAGAATAGGAAACCAAAGCATTTAAAACAAAATAGTCAATCTCAAGCCAAGCCCCCAAAGCCAGGATGAATTGATACTGTTTTCAGAAATCTTGCCTTTATGTCGTGTTTAGCTTGGGCTTTTTTCTCCCTGTCTCCCTTTTTGGCATCTGTCAGGGGAGTTGCATTTCAGGATGGATTGGAGGTCTCTGCCAGGCAAAGGAAGAGATGGGGAGAGAGATGGGGAGAGAGACAGAGAGAGAGAGAAGGGTTTTCTGACACTGTTCAGCTGGAGTTTATTTGGTTTCATGCACTTGGTGTTTGGAGAAATGTTTAGATCCTGAGTGTGAGACAAACAGACTCAAAAAGGAGAGAAAGTGCAATGTAGTTGTGCTCCAGAGTTGCAGCATCTCATTAGCACAGTGGTCTTTAAGACTGCAAAACGGAGTGGCCTGCCTGTCCTTGCCAGGCTCACCCAGGCAGCCTTGTAATGGTGTATGTGCAAAAAAAAAAGAGGTGAAGCACACGGAGGGAAAAGAGCAACTCTGGACCTTTCTTCACTGGTGGTGGACAGAGCAAACTTGGTAGCCAAGCTCATTTAAATGGGTGGACAATGCAAAAGAACTGATTATGTATAGAAGAGGAGGCTGAAGTGTTGAGCTGCTCTGTGCAAAGAAATGTTATTTTGGTTTGGTTCAACTTGCTGATTTTCCAGCAGCTTAAGATCTTCCATTTTTAACTTAAGAAATCTGTTTTCAAACCAGCCCTGCATTTTGCATTTAAAGGAAATGTGAAAGGCAAAAGCATGTTAAAAGATCGCTGGTAGCAGTTTTGGAGAAAGCGGCAAAGCAAGAACATTTCTGTAGAGCAGGAGCAAAGATTGAGAGGGAAAGGCACAAGAAAATCATATAATTCCAGGCAGAGAACCAGGTTTCCCAAGGCAGGTCTTCAGTACCTGGTCAACAGGTTTCCTAGGAAGAGCAATAATTTCCTGTATCACTTTGTTTTGTACGTAGTCATTAAAAATCATAACAAAAACCCCTATGATTTTTTGCATGTCAAAGTTTTGCAAATTGCTCCAAGGAGCTTCTCTTAAAATGCATTTAGATTTAGTGCAATTAACGCACTTTCCCTGCAGAACAAAACCCACACCAATGTAATCAACTCTAATACAAAGAGAGTGTAAGCTGTGACTGAAGAATTAGAGAGGAAATTACTATTATTTTAAGGATGGATGACTTTTTCATAATACCTGCATGGCTGTGCACAGAAAAGCTTAACGTGCTTTTAAAAGACATTGCATGTGTTTACTTTAAATAGGACAGGGGAAAAAAAAGGTTGTATGCTGTTGAATTCCAGGTTGTCTTTCATTTGAATATATTTGTATTGGACTTACAAGATAAATAAAAAAATTACTGGCACATTTTCATGGTTTCTGCTCTTTAAAAATATTTTCTAAACTGGTGCAGAGTAACTAGGTTATGGCTGTGGGTTGTTCTGTCCTTTTTAGTTGATATGTCCGGTGGCTTAAACAGATATGTAGCGGGTGAGAAACCATTTTGCAGTTTTTTTCTGGTCGGCAGATGCAGAGCATATTTCGTCAAGCTTATTTAAATACCGAGAAATAAAACTCTTCAAGATTTTACAAACTGGCTGCCTTGAATAGGAATGGTGGGAGCCGTTGTTTTGCACAAAACGTGTGTTTCTCTGCAGAACAAAGGGTTGTCTTGTGGCATATTTGGTAATAATTATGATTTAGAAAAGTGTGCGCTCGAAGAAGTAGCACAAATTTTTGATATCATTTATAGACTCTGGCTGACTTCAGCTGCTCTTCCCAGGGCTGAGCTCTCTGCGAGCAAACCTCTCTGCTTCAAAAACGCCTCGCACACGATGTTAGTTTGTCTCCCGCGTTTCCTACCTGGATCTCTTCGCTCTTTGTGTTGTTTGTTGATGGAAAATACTTTCCAAAATAAACTTCGCCGGCTGCCGGAGCCTGCCGTGTGCCCCGGCCGCCAGTGGCGGGGGTTGGCGACTAGGGGGAGCTCCCAGCCCGTGCGATGGCCGCGCCGGCCCCGCCGCGGGACGCGCGGGATGCG